TTGCTATTGTAAACAGCATATAAATGAATATTGTTAGAGCCAAATATTAAATACCTACATAATTCTAGAAGTAGAATCTCTCGTCAAAGAGGATGTATCTTTTGAAGGTTTTATATATGCAATCACAGCCTTCCAGATAAATTTTATTAACATATATTGCCCATAGCAATATGTGAGAATGCATATTATTTCAAAATTTCACTATTATTTTGCAATTTTTCTTTTTAATCTTCCCAAGACCACAGACCTTAACCATCCTGGGGACGCAAATTAAGTCATATAATGTGCATACCATTAGGCAGGATTAGGCTTGAAGAAGAGCCTGAAATAAGGGGAAGTACAGTATTTCATGTGCATGTCCCTGGAAGGCGTCTTGGACTAACGTGGTGTCAGACATGGCCTCCTTCACTCTGTCCTGTTGCCCCTCTCTACTTGGCCAGTGACCTCTGGTCCAAAAATGGCATCATGTGAGTTCTAGGAACCGTGATGGAAACAGAAACCAAGAAGGAAAAGGTCAATGGCACACTTGGATTCTTCCTTAAACCCAAAGGTAACTAGAAGTGCTACACAATACTCCCGCTTTGGTCCAATGAGCCAGCATTTGGTAAGTGGCTACCACAGAGGCTACAGAGGCTGAGAAATGTAATCAATGCCCTTTTTGGCAAACTTGTGCCGAGGTGACAATTCTATCATCACTGCAGAGAAAGGCAAGTGTATTAGTTTGATAGGGCTGCCACACAAACTACCACAGTGAGGCTTCAACAGTGTTGGAAACTTACTGTTTCACAGTTCTGGAGGCCAGATGTCAAAAATCAAAGTGTCAGCAGGGTTGATTTCTTCAGTAGGCTGTGAGAGAAGGGCATGTTCCAGGCTGCTCTTCTTGGCTGGTACATGGCCATCTTCTTTCCATATCATCTCCTTTCTGTGTGTATCTCCTTGTTCACATTTTTCCTTTTTGTAAGGACACCAGTCATAATTGACTACGGCCAGCTCAATGACCCCGCTTCCCTTTGTGAAGACCCTATCTCCAAATAGGGTAACATTCTAAGGTCCTAGCTTAGAACTTCAACAATGAATTTTTAGGGGACACAGTTAAACACACAAAGAAGAGCACAAACGTTAGGGGGTCACTAGCAGTGTTTGCCAAAATGCTCAAATTAAGACGGCCCTTAGCTTGTAGCCAATGATTGGAGAACATTCTTCCATCCCCCTGCTGCCCACGCAGTCACTTATGGAAGTTCACAGGGAAGAATCAGCTCCATTTCTTTCTTTACTGTTTCTTACTAAGGAGCCTTATCAGACCCATCTGTCTGCTACTCATGGATGCTTTGACTCTGTGCATAGGATTGTGTACATGTGTAAATGTGTCTCGCTTTGTCCCCAGCGCTCCAGAATGGCACTACTTATGTCCCAAGTAACTCTACTACTGCTAAAAAGCAACAGCTAACCTTTACTATAAGCAAACTCAATTTTAAGTGCTATGCTTTACATTTTATGTGCATTATTTTATCTGAGCTTCAAAATTATTTTATTAGATGACTACTAGTTTTATTACCATCTTCAGTAAAGGAAACTTAGTTATAGGAAGTTTACCCAACTTGCCCAGGGTCATGCAGCTGGTAAGTGGTGGAGACGTAATTAGAACCCAGGTCTGTCTGACTGTAGAGCCTGTACCCTTAACCACTGTACGCTTCACCTCCGAAAGTCTTTCATCAACATAGAAGCTATAGTGCACGGTTCTAGCTCTTTCTCAGGGCATAAAACTCCGGCTGGCTTGGAAGACAGATGCTTTACCTTCTCTTTTAGTTTGCACTTCCACATCTCTTTGTCTTGCACAAGCCTCTGATCACCATTTAGATCTTAGCTCCAAAATATGCTTTGAGTCTTTCCATTTGTATCTGGCTCCCACTGCCACCGTCCCTCCTCAGAGCCCCTGAAATTCTACAGTCTGGGATGCAAACTGGGTCATATTAACTTTAATGTCTTTATTAGAATTAGTCTAATACATTATCCTCTGACATCTTCTTTCACTCTTGCTCCTGAAATATGTCTCCCACAGTGTATCTGTTTTGCAGATACAGCCACTGAAAAATGCAACCCAGAGCACATCAGTTCACTGTCTAACTCTTTGCTTTTACCTGTGACCTTCTTTCTCCCAACCCGCCTGCAGCCACAGGCTGAAGTGCAGACACATAGGCCTGTGGTCCTATCTTTAACAGGCAGGCTTTCTCCTGCCTCAGGGCCTCTGCATTCTGCTTGCAACTATTTTTTCCCAGATACTTGTCTTTGAGTCTCCTGCTCAGCCTTTATGCATTTGTACAAATGCTACTTCTTAGCAAGGTGCTCCTCAACTAATCCAAAGGATATTTCTACCATCCCTATCTATTACATTACTCTGTTTCATTTTCTTCAAGATACTGGTCAGTATTACTACCTTAATTGTTTACTTGTTCATTATCTAAGCACCCTCCTCTGAAGACAGAAGATATTGACCACTGTTTGCATTCTCAGAGCCAGACTACCTAGTGAATGATAAATATCGAATCGATATTCATTTAAGAAAGAAGCTTCCAAAGCATGATGTGCAAATCTCCTTTCTCCTTCCACTTCAAAATAAAAACCTCAATGAAATTAACCTCAGAAAGAAGCGTGCAAGTAACTCACTAACAGCCAGCTTGGATTCCGGTTTCAGCTTAGTGAGCACACACACTGGAGTTTTCCTGAGATCTTGGCCGTCTCTCCCCACTGTGATCACTGAACTACATCACCTGTATAGTACCACAGGGCAGGCTAGTTGGGTTTTAGATGCAGATCACCCTCCCAAGTCACAGACTGCCCAACACTCTATCTAGGAGGGTAAATGAGAAGAACGTCTTTGTTTCCTGGAACCCACCAGCTTTTGGCTTGATAACAAGTGAGGAAATAAGCCTACTTAAAAGGGAATCTAATAATGTTTTCTATGTGTCAGGCCAGACTTTGTTTAAACCCTGTAAATTTCTATACCATGTGTATCATTATGACCAATTATAGAAGAGGAACCACAAACAGAGAAGTGAAATAGCTTGCCAAATATTAATAGTCACTTGCAGAGCTGGGGTTGAATTTAAGAAGTTTCCCTCTAGAGTCCATGCCTTTAAACATTAATACAATGCAAATAAGATTTGGGAGACGGAAACCAGGATAACCTAGTGGAGACCAGACTAGAAGAGACAGAAACATATTTTGAAAACCTGTCAGATTACACACGTGAGAACAGATATTAAGCCGGCATGTTTTTCTCTCTTCCTCCAGGGTGCGCTCTCTCTCCTATTTTAGAGCCCTATTTGTTAGAGGTTGAATTTTGTTATATCCACATTTCAGAGGAAAGAGCAAATTCTTCTTATTATTCAGTGTTGCTTGAAAGATACGTCAGCACCTAATTTGTGTTCTGCACCTGGATCTTGGGTCCCGCTGGATGTTCATTTTGCCTTATTTAGTAATCTGGGATGTGGATTTTGTTAAGTCTTCTCACATCAGCATGCCGATTCCTTTCCTCAACAGGGCAGTGAGCCATCAGACTGAGACCACCGTTTCTGGACTCAGAGCAATGATTTTGCAACTAGGAGCTATGTGACCTTGGTCAGGTATACATGACTGCACCATGCTTGTTTCCTCATGTATAATACCCCACTATACAAGGGTGTAGGGGATTAAAAAGATAAAATATAAGA